AATTGTTATAAAACTCCCCAGCTACTTCATGTATGGTGAACATCATTTGCATTACCTCACCCACTATCAACCCATCGACTCTATTTTCCTCGACACCATGATCAGAAATTGTTTGATCATCTGTTATGACAACATTAAGATCTAGTAGTACACATTTACCTTTGTCACCGATCGTACCCGCCATTACTCCAACTATGGAATTAAAAAAAAGGTGGAGTTAAAAAATATTTGCTAAATTTTGACAAAAATTTTATTGGATAATGCAGAATACCTGTTCATTGAGTCAATATACTATTGCATATGTTATCTGCAATATAGTACTTCTATAATTTATTAATAAACAAACTATTGCATATATACCACAATGAAGTAGTACGCACATTATTACAAAAGGTTTGATACTTGAATTAAATGATGAATAGTTGTAGGGAGATCAATTGAATCCAATATGCCTCTTTCCTGCACTTGTAGTGTTTTAAAGAACATGGGTAAGTTGACTTTTTTAGGAAATTTTTGGATGTAGTTGAAAGAAAATGATAAATATATTATTTGGTAGTTGGGATTTTTACTTCTTCGTTGAATGAAGTAATTTAATAGCAATTAAGATGTATCAGTTGGGTTGGTCGGGTCATAAAATTAGGATCCTCCATAACCAATTGTTGATTACACGGGTTGGACGCACATCGGGTTAACACATGCGGGTTCAAAATTAATCTTGACTTGTTCCTGTTATTTGACTCCATTAAAACGGATCTCCCGCCCACCCACTCCCGCTGCAAATTTCCAATTTAAAGCAGATTCCCCCTCTTTCTGTATTTTTCTCTGTCTCTCTATTAACCTTTCTCTCTCTCTACACCACAGCCCCCTCCCAGGTCTCTCTCCCCCACTACCATGCAACCCACTCCGGCAACGGTGATCTGCCATCACCACAGCCCCACACCACTATCACAACCACCACTACTTCATCCTCTCCCCCACCACCGCGCCAACCCACTACGGAGACTCACTGACAGACCCACTTCAAAAATGGCAGGACTCTTTTACAAGTATATCTCTCTCGCTCTCTCTCTCCACAATTTGCCATCACCA